GGGACTCATTGGATCAGGTAGAAAGCAGAGGCAACTCAAAGCCGAAGCAGAGTGGCTTAGCATCATCGAGAAGATGATCCTGCCCCGACCAAAAGAGCGCATCAAAATGAGCTACGTCCTCGCCAGTCTAAACAGCGGCAAAGTCACAGGCGGCCGACGCCGAAGCCTAGACGGCGGCGGCTTCAGCGGCCAAACCGCTGTCTCCCTCGGTCTCAACAACGGCGCCTCAACCGCCACCCTCGTCGACATCTCCGAAAACACGGTTTCTGCGCCTGCACCTATATCCGCACCTGTGCCCCGAAAACCCGAACTCAGCGTCTTCGACGGCTACTTCCAAACCCAGACGCGTCGCATTGAACCCGCTGGGGGATGGTAGAAGAAAAAAATTTCGGAATCCCATTTTTCCAATGAGGATATTATCCCAGAGAAAGAAAGAAAGAGAGAACAGAGATTTGTCAAACATGTTACACTCCGCCAAGATGATACTCGGCCAGTAAAACATGTATCGGACCAAATTTTCCTGTCTTTCCCAAAACTTTGATGGGGGAGGTTTTTTTCCTTTGAGAGGGGGAGGGATGGTAGTAGATGGTTCCTAAAACGTTTTGTTTTCTTTCTCGGATGACAAACGTTCCGAGAGTTGTGTGCGTGGGGGTTGCGGTTGAAACACGAACAGGTGACGGTGCAACATCTTTCTTCTTTTTTGGCAGCCGCCAAAACGTCGACGTTTGACTGACAAGGGGAGGGGGGGAAAGAAAGGATAAGGATGAGGAAGAAGAGGAATGTGAGGGAAGGAAGTGTCTCTTGTGTGTGTGCGTGTGCCAACGGCGAATATCTTGAGCACCCTTGGAAATGGAATCTATTGCGACGACCTCTGTTTTTTTTTCGTCTCTCTCGAGCACGCGCACGATTCTTTTGTTTTCGGCACCGAGTATCAAGCGTCTTCTTGCGAACTTACTACGCGTATATATCTTTTTTTTCTCTTCTTCTTCGTCATATTCTTCTTCATCATCATCATCATCACCACATTTTTTTTAATTTCCCTTTCACGATTACATGGTCGATATATCAGTCGGACATTTGATACCCACCTCTGTTTCCTTTGTCATTTCGGCTGTTTTGTCTTTCTTCCTTACGACTCTTTTATCGTAGTTTGTTTGAGCTTAGTCCGTAGATTGAGATGGATCCAGCGTTTTGTTTTCGTTATGTTCATAGACAGCAATGAATGAAGCCTTTTTACTCTACTACATGCCGCAAAGAAAGCAATCAAGATGGTATCACAGGCAAGACACTAGACCTAGAATAGAGTACACACATACACATGCATACATCATGGCGGCATGAGGATAGGTTCTATGAATGAGTTTGGTATGCTACAGCAACACGAGGGCGCAGTTTCCCACAAAGAGGGGAACTCCCACGACCCGGCGGGTCCATTCAACACTAAATCATCAAGACCTATATCCAAATCTTGTCCAGTGTAGCCCAATGTCTAGCCGGCTCCCTAACCCGCATGCTCGACAATCTCACTGACAAGCTTGCCATCTTGAACATAGCTCCGGATCTGTTCTGGTAGCGGGTTTTCTACATAGTCATCTTCAGTTGGCAGATTGATGTTGATGCTGCTGCACTTGCTGGTAAAGACTTCGGTGGCTAGCGAGTCCTTGGAGAGGTATATGGTGGCACCGTCGACCTGGTCGAGTAGGATCGTAGGGAGGGTGCCGATGACCTGGAGGGCAAAGTTGGGGCACTTGATCACGTCGATTGAGCTGACCATGGAGTCGATGATGAGAGATGCGCGTGACGAGTTGTCGAGGGAGAGGGCATTGGCCTTGCCGTTGATGCGGATGGTTGTGTTCTTGCAGCGGGAAATGAGGATGGAGTGGTTGATCTCGGCATCGATTTCAATCATTTCGCTCGGCGAGTCAAAGTTGTCCTGACAAAATGTTAGCATCCGGACAATATATCACCTAGGTAAAACATACTATTATCCACTTGTTTCCGTCCAGCTCCTTCTTGGGAGGCTTCTTTGTCCGCATGCTTTCCGGTTTCTTTGCCTTGGGTGGTGCAGGGCTCTTACTCCTCAGACTGCCGGTACTATCGCTACGTTCAGGGACTGATGCGCTTGTTCGCAATGACGGGTTCTTATGTGTCATTTGGCTCGCGTCGACCTTGCGAAGTCCCTTTGTAACGTCTGAGCCCTTGTTAAGCTCACCAAAAACAGCATTCATATCAGGTGCAGCCTTCTTGGCTGGGGGCGCGGCACCAGGTGGCGGCGGTGGACCTGGTGGTGGGGGAGGTGGTGGGACGCCTCCTGCTGGAGGAGCCGGTATACTGGATCCACCGGAGATCTGCTTCGCAGCTTCTTTGGCATCGATGCCGTTGCTGTTCCAGGCTACACCAGTGGTGTGGTGCTTCTTTGCGTATTCGGCCAGGGCCTTGAACAGCTTGTAGTAAGCTTGAACCCACTTGACATGAACTTCACCCTCGGGTCTGCATATGTCAGCTATGTGCCAAGCCAAGATTGGGGGAGCCATACTTGTCACGATACTCCTTAAGCACCTTGTTGCCGTACATCTGAGCTCCACCGACCAGCTCGTTGATGTGCTCATGAGGCTTCATGCCTCCGCCTTGGCCAATGGTGACCCAGCCAAGAGATCCCACACCGTCGGCAACCATGGACAGCGGGTCTTTGAGAGTGGGGTCTCGGTTGCTCTGTCTGAACTCGTCCGTCTTCTCCATGTTTGCCTGGAGGTCCTTTAGAAGCTCCATGAGGGTGCGGTCGTCAGGCTTCTTGGCCTTGTTGGCGATGAAGAGAAACTGACGCTCGGCAGCGAAAGCACCCTCGACTGCCTTGGACTGGCCCTCGATAACCGAACCCAACTTCCCACTCAACTCCAGCCAGTTCTTGAGTTCCGAGTTAACCAGCTCATCGAAGGCCTCAATTGCTGGGGGCAGCGCCGCCTCGGCCACTAGCTTGGGGGTGCTCGTATTGGTATTCGATTGTGTTGCGCCGGGAGTAGCGATTGTCGAGGTTCCATTGAAGCTGACGAGTCCATCGCTGCCGGCTGGGAGGGCTGAACTGGCAATGTCTTCGAGACGTGAGGTAGCGGCTTCAAGCCTGAGGATCATGGAAGTCAGTACATTGTCTGCTTCGATACGAATCTGTCCAGGGCGACCCAGAACGTGTGACTGGTTAGGGCCATCGGCCATTTTCTGAAGTAATTGTAGGGCAGGGCGGGGAGGGTCTGGCTGGTGGTATGGTACGATGGGAGGGGCAGCGCTGTGTAAACATAGAGCTGCGAGGGCAAAGGGAAGAAACTTTGGCAGCAACTCACCGCTTGATCAGTGTCGTCAGATTATTCATGTTGTTGGCCATGCGGTGAAGGCGCGGTGGAGCGTTTGTATGGCGGGCAGGTACGTTTGCTTGGGCTAGCTTTAGGTTCGGGGAAGGGGGGGCAGGTCACAGCGGTCTGCAGCTCGGGGAACGCTTCGAGCGTGTGGAAGATGATGATTGGCTATGGGGAAACGGCAGCAGAGCCTGGATCCTGGTGAGCAGGGCTGCTGAGCAAAAGATTACAAAACGGCGCAATTGAAGATCCAAGGTCGACCTGTCTCCACGGCGCATGGGCGCATGGCCACAGCTGCCCACGTTGCGCTAGCCATTTGCAGCCTAGCGTAGTCGGACGGCCGACTGCACGTCAGTGGTCGGTCGTCTACTTACTACTGACTACCTACGTACCTTATCACTCACATATCAACTTGGCCGACTTTGTGGCCTTCAAAATGGCCGACCATGGAAGCAATATAGACTTTTGCACTCTGGGCATGTTCATCATCGGTATGCTCTGGATACTCGATGCGGACTCGGCAGTACACTAAATGGTCCAAGATGAGATTGAATTCCCCCCACCAAAACCCCCGGTCAAGGACATTGTCGGAGGAGCAGGAACGTACTCCGCACTAGGCGCACGCATCTTCTCTCCCCCGCCCCAGTCACGAAGTGTGGGCTGGATTGTAGACTGTGGATCAGACTTTCCTCACAAACTACGCGACTATATTGCGCAGTGGGACACGGGGGTGCTGATGCGGGAAACGCCTGACCGGTTGACTACGCGTGGATGGAATGGCTATGTGGGTGGTAACGAGCACCGAGGTGCGTGCAACCCACGCCAGTTTATTTGCAATCTTGACCAACATGTGCAGCTTTCCGATACCTGACGCCCAAGCTGCGTCTAGACCACCAGGCGCTTCAAGGCACACCATTGCTCTGGTCCAAGTCTTTCCACTTGATCTGTTCACCCTTACGCTGCATTGACCTGGTGGAAAACATCCTCGCACTACGCAAGCAACGAGACAAGTCGGCTGAGGCACATCGCCCAATCTTCATTTGGGAGCCTGTGCCTGATCTGTGTACAACCGACGAGTTCGATAACTGTCTAAAAGCACTCAAGTACATTGACATTATTAGCCCTAATCACGGTGAGCTTGGTGGCTTCTTTGGCAAAAACACAGACGGCCCAGATCAGGTCGACTACCGAGCAATAGAAGAGTTGACTAGTCAGTGGCTGGACAGTGGCATTGGGCCAGACGGAAAGGGAGCAGTTGTGGTACGATGTGGAAAAGATGGCTGTTTGGTGGCACGCAAAGGACAACGCAAATGGATGCCAGCATACCACCAGTCGGCAGAGAAGGTTGCTGACCCCACAGGCGGAGGCAATAGCTTCCTAGGCGGCCTTGCGGTCGGCGTGCTGCGTGGCGGGTCTAGCTCAGTCATGGAGAATGTGGAGAATGGTGCAGTGTGGGGGTCAATATCAGCCAGCTTTGCCATTGAACAAGTCGGCATGCCTGTGCTCGCTCACTCAACCCAGGGGGAGACGTGGAATGGTGTTTGTGTCGAAGATAGGCTTTCAGATTTCAAGCAGCGGTTGGCTAGTTATGTACAGCCATAGCCTTTGTTGCTGCAACGCCCCCCCCAGTTCTCCCACTCCCTCACTCACCCGCTAATTTCCAAACGTCTTCTCAATCAAGCTCTGGTCTTGTTTCCGCTCGTGCTCCCTGATCTGCTTGCTCCAGCTGTGCAATGGTTAGCGGTGGGCGTGCTGCGCGGGGTGGAGGACGCGAGGCGTACTATCGGCTGGGGAAGAACCTGTGGCGTTCGGGCATCTTGTCGCGGTATTCACGGTTCGCGCTGAGCATCCAGGCCATGCCGACGATGCTGCCGAGAGCGAGGCCTACGACAGCCGTGTTGGCTTTCCAGTTTGCGGGTTGGGCGTACCAGCCACCGGCCGGCGACCAGACGTGCTTGGGGTATCTGCTCAATGCTTAGCGTCGGAGCAGCATTCAATGGAGTCGTCCAATATCGTACGGAATCTTTCCTCCGCCGCCCATTGTGGTTGTGGATGTGCGGGACTTCGTGGGGTTGCTGGAGTCGGAGCTGGTATGAGGTCGCTGTCGCATGCATAGGGCTAGCACGGGCCTCGTGTACGCGGGCTTGGCGGAAATTCTTTGGCATCGCCATCATCGTCCGACAAGAAGACAACACGAGCGACCAATTGCTGCTGCCGCCGACTCCGCCTTGCTCCCACCCTCTGTCCGCTGATTCTGCGCCGTTTCTCCATGAAGCGCATACCCATATCAAGATGTGCCTCGCAATTGCTGGCCCAACCAATCCCCCGCCGACCCTCGTGCCCATATGCCGCGGCGAAGAATGCTCAAAGAGGCATTGCACCACATAGCAACCGCACACACGCCCGCTTTCAAACCACAGTTGCCATACCACACGATGGCGATCTGGAAATCGAAATAGCAGCAAATTCCCCTGCTTCTTCAGCATCAAAGTCGCGGCCCGCAGGCTTGCAGCCTCTCCCACTTGAGAGCCTTCCCTCCCCACACCCACATGCTGCCGAGCATTCGATAAAACTCCACGCCCTCCGAAGTCGACTATCACTACCCCCCCGCTTTCCCCTCCAGGCTCTCGCACGAACCCTTGTACATCCTTCAGCAGACCCGAATCCTGCCTTCAACAATGCCTCACTGTCGATACTCGGACGCCACTTGCTTGGCTACTACACTTCCGAATGGATTTTATGCAACTACCCACGACTTCCAATGGCTGTTGTTTTTGCTGCAGTCGAAGCATACATTGGCCCCAAAGCACTAGCGACCGTTGCACGTGAATGGGGCATTGAAGCCGCAGCCGAGCCTGGTGGTGAGGTGGACCCTGGTTTGCTACAGTTCAAGCGGATACGATCGGGCGACGATATCCCAGCTGCTCTGAGGCGGCAAGCACCTTGGAGCTGGAATGTCACCACAACACACAAAATTATGAAGACGGATGAATTTGGCTCGGACAGTGCTGCACCCAGCCCACATTCCCTGCAAAACACAGGAGTGCCCATGGAAGACGCAGCACAGTCATTTGTCCGAGCTCTCTTCGGCGCACTACACCAGCACCTTGGCACGCCTCTTGTTAAGCGCTTTTTCCGCGATCATTTCCTCAGCAGGCATCTTGACATTAGCACGCTATTCGATTTCCGCACACCCACCCGAGATCTCTCAACGCTGTGCGCACGAGAGGGTTTTGAGCCACCAATTGCCCGACTTATTTCCGAGACTGGTCGTCTAAGTAGGCACCCGGTGTTTGTTGTAGGTGTATACAGTGGCAAGGACAAGCTGGGTGAGGGAGCAGGCAGCTCATTGAACGAGGCGAGGACAAGAGCAGCGGCAGCAGCATTGAAGGCGTGGTATCTGTACAAGCCTGTCGAGGTGACAGTACCGAGTAGCACAGAGGGCGAACTCGACACCAGCAAATGGCGGCCAAACTACGTCGACTGCGGTGAAGTTATTGTGTAAGATTTCAGGCCATGGTCTACGCTCTTGGGAGTTGAAGGGAAATTTTTGTTTCTTTGGACATGCATTGCATCGCTGGACGCGTATACTCCTCGCTTTTCACGAATTTTGGTCAGTTGGGGGTGGGGTGGTGAAGGAGTTGGAGGAAAAAGGATCCAGAAATAAACTCTGCTGTGGCAAGTTTGACGATTAGATGGGTTGATCCGACGCCGCGATACGTCAATAGGGAGACGAGACATCTGGCGCTCAGGAGCAGCGCCCATGTATCATATGTGACATCATGAGGACACTACAACGAGCCACAATGTGTAACAATATAAAAGATGAATGCTGCATCGTTTGTCTATGTGTATCGATATCCGTCTGTCTGACTTGGACGATCTTGCATCGGAACTTCATCCCCAGAGTTTCACACCACACATCAAAGTCCCCCCACACAGCTCACGTTGCAAAAAAAGAAACTTTTCCGATCCATGTCTGGATAAAATATTATTATACGTATTTACATGTATTCTACCCAATACACACACAAATATATCTTTTACACAAAAACACCATTCATGTATCACAGACACATATACAGACGCACACATCTACTCATGCAACGTAGGCAAGCCATGTTCCCTCGCATAATCCTTAATCTCATCGAAATTCCTACACACGTGCGCAGTGTTGTAGTCGGGCTCGTGGCCCGCGACACCTTCCTTGCGATGAAGCGTAAACACATTGACGTCTGCGAAGCACATGAGGTTTACACGGAGGACTTCGATACAGTGATCTAAATAATAATGTTCTGTTAGCCACACCATTCCTCTTTACATCATTTTTTGGAACGGAAGGGCCCCCCTTTAGAAAGAAAGGAGGAGGGGGGGAGGTTGAGAAGAAAAAAAAGACGTACCCAAGTGCGCCCTAACCTGCTCGGGAGGGTGGTTGGTGTCACTCCACGACACCTTTGTGTAATGCTCGGGATACGTGGCCATGCGCAGCAGATTCAAGCAGTGGAGCTGGTGGAATACTTCCAGCCCCACGCGATACCCTGTTTCGCCTGTTTTGGGGTCGGTGGCTTCGATGGCGTCGGTGGTCTTGTGGAGTCTGGGGTAGTCGGACTTTGAGACTATTTGGTCGGGGACTATTTGATGACATGTTAGAGTTGGGAGGTGGATGAAGGGAAGAGAGAGAATTACGGAATGCAAGTTCGACCCATGCGTCGTCGACGTCGTCGGTGATTCCGACGTATTTTGAAGAGTTGAGGGGGGAAGCAAAGGTGAATTGCGTGCGGGTGTATTTGACTTTGTGCATGAGGGGTGCTTTGGAGGATATGTTAGTTGCTTTGTTATTTGGAAAGCAAATGGAGTATCTTTCGTACAGTAAACGTCGAATTGGTCCATGAGTTGGGCGGCTGTGTTGCCGGAGGGATCCCGTTGTGACATGACGGTGCATACCATTGAGAGCATGGATATGACAAAGATGAAGAGGTTGAAGAGTGTGAGCCACACAAAGTTTTGGCGCCGTTGCGATGTCTCATCGCGGAGAGACTCAGAAGCTATGAGAGTTGCGCTTTCAGAGTCGGCATCTTGCGAGTGGGTGTCTGCGTATTTTTCCATGGTGAATAGATTGCTGGGTAGGTAGTGATAGTAACGAGTCAGACAAAATAACAAAAATGCCAAAAAAAAATATTATTCGACCTGCGATGGAAGGAAAGTACCTGCTCAGCAGTGTGACAAAGGACAAAAATCAAGTGTGCTGTGTGTTGGCGAAAAGAAAGGGAGTAGGCGGGACTCTACTTTACACAGCCATTCTCAGCCACGAATCCTCCCAATGCTCAATGTATCACCAGTCAGATCTCTAAAACGCGGAGGACATGGAACAACTCCGTCTGCTCGCTCCGCCTATTGGTCCCCGCCAGCCTACCAGACGCCGTCTTCTGGAGCGGGCAACAATAGCCTTGCACACCGCGTCGAGGGCATTGTCAAACAGTAGGCTAAGCTTTTGGGCGCATGGTAAAACAGCAATCAAGCTTTTTCCAAGCATTGTGAGACGAGCAGAGCGGAGGCGTCTCAGCCACTTGGTTGGCTGAGCCGTGTCTCGGTGTTCCATACAGTCGCTTAGCCAAGAGTGAATGTTCATAACCACACCAGCGTTTCAGACTTGGCGACGCTAGGCAAAACATGTGCTTGCCCGTTCGACTTTGACACGCTCTTGGAACAACCGCAGGGCTGGTATTCCCGCGCGGCCTACCACCTTACTACTGCCATCACCACTACGCCCCCCCCCCCATGCCCTAGGAATCCCATAGGGGCTAAATGCCGCGGAGCGTCGCACGCGTTGCCGCTGTTAGATTGACAGAAGCGCCATGGCATAAGCCCGGACTCCACACCGTTGGCCCTAGAACCTGTCACGCCGACGTATCGAAACGTCCGTGGTTGGCTGGCAAGTCTAGAAGGGTGGAAATAGGCTAGATCGCACTGTCAATCTAGCATGAAATCGGTGCCAATCGCCTGGTGTGCTTGGTATGGCATCGAAGCTTTGGCAATGCTTGACCCACCATCTGTGGCGTCAGTGGTGGACAGGAAAACCTGTCACGAATCGTCATGTTTGACTACCCGCTATCTGACCTGCACACTACCATGTCATCATGGCGAACTGTAGATTGGCGGAGCCACCACCGGCTTGTCCGCTTCTGTCCGTCAAGCAATGCAGGGCTGTCTCATGGACGGGACCCGCACACGTACGTCTGTCAAAGCCTATCTATCCCGCAAAGTCATCGTGGGCCTTTTTGTATAAAACCATCCCCGCCTTACGGAGAAAAAAGAGCATCAACGTTGAACGTGCTCATTCCTTCTCATCACTTGCTCCATTTCGACGCCTTCTCTTCGTCTCTGCAGGCAGATCCTCTCTTTCAATTTCTCTTCCGAACACAGTCAGACACAGATAACTTTCTATTCTTTTCAACATGAGATTCTCCACCATCACTCTTTTGGCCCTTGGTGCCACTGCCTCAGCTTACGTTGTACCGAACCGACAAGTCGTTGATAATGCCGTCAAGGCACGCATGCCAGTATGTGGTCGTCATCCTTTGTGCAGTGCAACACTGACTAACAATTCCACAGGAAAATGAAGCCGTTCAAGCATCTAATCTAGTAGCTGCTCTCTCAGCTCGTGAACTTGAGGCCCGCCACCACCAGGGCAACAAGGGCAAGGGCAAGAAGAACGCTCGTCAAGAATATGCCCCAGTTGAGGCCCGCGACCCTGAGCCCCATCACCAGGGAAACAAGGGAAAGGGCAAGAAGAACGCCCGTGATGTAGACTCTGAGGACCATGACCATGAGGACCTCGAAGCCCGCAACCCCCACCATCAGGGTAACAAGGGTAAGGGCAAGAAGAACGCCCGTGAAGCCTCTCCTGAACCCCACCACCAAGGCAACAAGGGCAAGGGCAAGAAGAACGGTCGTGACGTCGACTCCGAAGACCACGACCACGAGGACATCGTAGCCCGTGATCCCCATCACCAGGGCAACAAGGGAAAGGGCAAGAAGAACGGTCGCGACGTCGAATCTGAAGATGAAGACCTCGAAACCCGCTCCCCTCATCACCAGGGCAACAAGGGTAAGGGCAAGAAGAATGCCCGCGAAGCCTCTCCTGAACCTCACCATCAAGGCAACAAGGGCAAGGGCGCAGGCAAGAAGAACGCCCGCGACGTTGACTCTGAGGAACATGACCACGAGGACATTGTAGCCCGCGATCCCCATCACCAGGGCAACAAGGGCAAGGGAGCAGGCAAGAAGAACGCCCGCGACGTCGACTCCGAGGACCACGACCATGAGGACCTCGCAGCCCGCGATCCCGCTCCCCACCACCAGGGCAACAAGGGCAAGGGTGCAGGCAAGAAGAATGCCCGCGACATCGACTCTGAGGAACACGACCACGAGGACATTGTAGCCCGTGATCCCCACCACCAGGGCAACAAGGGCAAGGGAGCTGGCAAGAAGAACGCCCGTGAAGCCTCTCCTGAACCCCACCACCAGGGTAACAAGGGCAAGGGTGCAGGCAAGAAGAACGCCTAAGTCTCTTCCCCTTTTTTGCGCTTTGAACTAGTTTCCACCCCCTCCCCTGGAGACCGGATCTCCCCTTGTCTCCCACAAACCTCTTTTTTGTATATCAAAAAATAGCGGATACACACATACAACTTGAACAAGCCTGGGGCTTTTTTTTGCTGCTGCTGCTGCTGCTGCTGCTACTTATAATCGAGATGATGCATCATCGGTTTGAATTGGGGATAGCCCCGTTCTTGACTTGTGGGTGTTTTTTTTTTCCTTAAAAACACAGGATAGCTTTTACCTTTTTTCTTCTTTTGCGATGGTGGAAAGCGGATGGAGTGAGGGGTTAATTTTTTATACTTATAGAAGAGAAATCGAGCTGTTGATCGATAAAATCTTTTGTGTGCCTTGAAGTTTGGTGATGGCTGTGATTGATGAGTGCTTGCTTGCTTTTGTGACTTGGGGATATGGAAGAAGTGGAATTGAGGGGGGTGGTTTTGAAGGAAATCTTTCGGAGTGTTTAGTCGGAGTATATATGTATGGAAGGGATTTCTTTTTTTTTTTGCGAAAGAGTCAAAGGTTATAGGTTCTTGAAATAGCGGTCATTGGTTGTATTACTGCGAATTGAGACATTTCCTACAATCACTTCTCCATTCACTTAGATACTTCAAGTTTCCCAAAAATAAAATAAAATCTTCATTAATCGCTAAATCAACTTTTTCATAAATCCATATCCGGCATCTGCATATCCCCCGGCTCCATCAGGTTCATAAGATATATAGACCCGGAAAACCAATCCTGCATCGAGTTATGAGTCCCGCTAGATGGCCCAAACCCCAGACCCATCTGCCCTGGATTGAAGTTGTTTCCCATTTGTTGATCCTGCGGGAACGCTTGCATGCCACCAGGACCGGCAGGGTTCATGTTGTATTGATCTGCCGACCATGCTGTATCAGGGAGTAGGCCGAGTGCGTTAAGATATGGGTCAAACTGCGACATGGCGTTGAGGTCAAGCTGTGCGCCATTTGCTGTATAGTAATTTTGTTGGTTTTGCGCGGCGGTGCGCGATCTCAAAGCAGCGTCCTGTGCCTTGGCCGTTACGTAGAGTCTTGCCACTCGCAAGAAGAGATGACACATTCTATAAAGCTTGTCTGCACCTTCAGAGATTGTACGACAAGATTCGAGACTCGTGACAAACTCTGAGAGAGATTGGAGGTCGGCGCTGACGTCGGATGTATCCGCCTTTTGAATGGCGTTGCAAAAAATGACAATGAACCTATAATGATTAGTTGGGACAACGATGCGGTCATGGAATCAGCGTACGGTGTAAATGGCGCCTGGAGAATGGACCAATGCACGTATCCCGACCAAAGTTCTTCTTGGCCCTTCTTGTTGAACTGTGCGGAGGCCCTTTTGTGCGCGTCGAGAGCTGATCGGGACGACTGCAAGCAATCTTGACTGAATGTCATGTTTCCCGGACTTACTGAGCGCTGTATAAGCGCACACGTCGAGTAGTGTGAAACTACGTCAGAGTAGAACAAAATATCATCAACACGATCAAATGCGCCTTTCACGGTCAGCCCAACCGACTGTACCTGAATACTCCTTGTCACATACCTTGGATGTACTCATTGACATCAGACTCCGCCTTTAGCGGTTGAGATATGTACCGCTTCAATTGAGATGGGAGTGGGGTCTTGTTTGGGCTGTGACCGACTCCGGTCGCTCTTTGTGGGACATTGTTCATATTTTTTCCAAAGTTTGCTCGATTAATGGCTTTGACGTCGTCACGTTCAGCCCACGCTTGGTTCATGGCATTGAGCAGGTCCGTTGCGACTGCCGTTCGCTCCTCTGTGGACTGCAGGAAGGAGGCGGGGCAAAATAGCTTCTCATATGTCAAGCCCTGTACCCTAGCGACCTTGACCCAGTAGGATAGCATACGGGTTCGCGGGGAAGGCGGTTCATTAGGATCGCTCTCACGGACGAAGGGCAAGGCTATATCCCAATCCTGAAGGACACTTGACTTGCCCAGCCGTAGCGAGAGTGTCTTGTCGAACATGTATATCATCCAGAAAATGTAGATTTTCGCCTCTTTTTCTTCGGGCGTGTCGTGAGTCATGGTGTTGATACGGTGATATCCCAAACTCGTGCACAAGCCTGCTGCGCAAGATATCAGGATATAGCAGAGAGAAGGCTTACACATTTCGATTGCTTGCGCTGCTCCAAGGACCAAAGCCATGATGTTTTCATAACTTGCCGGTATGAATAGGTCAAGCTGGCTTAGGGCCACCTCTGATTGTCGCTTACATATGGCTGCATATGTTGCGTACTGGCTGATATCCATACCCGCTAGAGGAAATGCCTGGAATTCGTAGAATATATTCCCCAGAATGCCATAGGTAAGCACACGCCGACCGGCGCTACAGGTGCCAGGGTTGTGGTACGCGTCATCGAAAATTTCCCTCAGGTTTGGCATCTTGAGGAACGGAAAGATCACAGCAAATGTCATCGTTGAATACTCTAGTCAAATTAGTAACAATCAAAAATCGGGGCAGACTGAAATGTTACTCATGGCGGTTTCCAACGCATTACAAACCTCCATCCATGGAGGCTGCTCAAGTCTGGTAGGATCCACTTCCGCAAGGGAGCGATTGATCAATCGGTTGCTTGGAGCTATAGTCTGGCTTGGCTGTGATACCATTTCCGAAAGAGCAGTAAGTGCCATCTTGACTTCTTCATTCCGGCCAATTGACGGGGTGCTGTCAATTACTTGAGCTAGCATCTCACGAGCATAGACGGATTGAATGTTGATTGAGCTTTCACCCTCAAATGGCGCAGGTGTAGGGGCTTCCTGCAAGCCACTACCTGGGCTTCTTCCTACTCGACTCGAACGTGACTGACTGCCTGTTTCGGGACTGTCTTTAGCAAGATCCATATTGCCGAGTTTTGACGAAAGGCTGGCGAGAACATGTTCGATTCCTGCTAATCGATCTTCTATTCGGTCAATCTTCCTTTCGCTATGATAAATCAGTACTAACACCTTTCGTCATTATCCAGATCTCGGCACCATTGTGCGAATTATACTCGGGTTTTTTGCCTGCTTTCGATATGCCCCGAAACGGCTTATAGCTAGGGGTAGCGCGAGGGGATAAAAACAAATTTAAAGGTGCGCATATGCCAGTGATTGTAACAACTTGTCATCTGGATTACGTACTATTGTTCAGAAATGTGGACTCTTTGACGTTGAGTCTTCTGCTGGGGAGCAGTCGTTCTGCAAGCTACTTTCGTAAGCAATAGCCCATTATGCATGTCATAGACACAAGATTTCTTACATAGTTTGCTTGCCTTGCAGTTAGAGCAAGGTACGGCTCGGTCGCAGCGTATCTTACGCGTGCGACAGCTATCGCACTGTTTGGGAAGTATCAGTGGCTGGACCACTATATGCAGCCACAGGCCAAGCGTTGGGGCTCTCGACTTACTGCACGCTTAGACATGCCCCGATCTGGCGACTCATCCATGTCGTCGTCTTCCATAGCGTCGGTTACGGGTCGGTTTAGGCCGCAGTGTGGCAACGCGTGGAGTGCGAGAGTGGGTGTAGTAATGTGGAGAGTTCGGGCAGCGGAGCCCGCGGGCACCGACAACGGGGGGTACCATCAACGATGTCATTACTATCGGCGGAAATCACATATTTTCAAGACATCAGTCGAGTGTTCTTGAGGGATCAAGTTTCGCTTTTCAATGCAGCTGCATGTATCTGCAGTGCATTTCAAGCTACATCAGATGGACAACAATGGAAAGTGTGGATACCACGTGACTATGCCAAGACTCCACCTGTTATTGGCATGCCCGTATTCTTTTTCTTGGTGGACAACGATAATACTGGAATAAGAACAGCCCCTATCAAAATAACACCACTGCTCACGTCAGCCACTTACACCACCACTTGTACTACCCCAACCAGTTGCTCATGCCTAGAAGAGTACTACATTTTATACATAGATTTTCATTTCCATGGTATAGCACTAAACCATGTAATTTTACAATGTTAGTGTATACTTAATTATATATCACGAATGTTACGCGGTTTTAGTATGGGCAGCTTTCCCCGGGTATCCTTGTCCGCAAAGAGCGCAGTCGACCCCTGACGCGATTCAGCTCATCTCGGGGACTATCGAGCCACTTAGAACAGCCCTACGTAACGTGGTAATTATGGAGTTTCCTTGGCCAATCGCGATAAAATGGCGTTAGATTTCCGCTGCTGCCTGCGTACGATGAACTGCACCAACTCTTAATTTGACCATGTTGCCAGAGGAGCATCAAGCCCCTCCACTTAAATCTGACGCGCAATCAACCGAAGATGCTAAGAGAGATGCAGCTTCTGATGGTAAAAGCGATGCTGCATCGAAGGAGGCCGATGGCGGTATGGGTGGCTATATCGTAAGTACAAACATGCGCGCGACATCTGAATTGCATTTGGGATTGACCTTGTTCCAGCGCATCTTTCGGTATGCGGACCGTACCAGTTGGATCCTGAACGTCATTGCAGCCATCGCCGCTGTCGCTGCTGGAACACTACTACCACTCATGTAGGCAAGCCAATGCTACTTGATTCACATGAATACTAATCTTCTCCTCAGGGACCTAGTCTTTGGAAAGTGAGTACATGTATACGGAAATAATGCCGAGGACTTCACTGATATTCCAGATTTGTGTCCACGTTTACTGGGTTTGCTACTGGCACCATCACACCAGCTAAATATCGGTCTGAAGTGAACAAATTCACTCTCTACTTTATATATCTCTTCATTGGAAAATTCAGTCTCGTCTATATCCACTCGGTATGTAGACTCAACTCGCTGTGTAACATATTGATGCTCATTTTGCTAGACTTTTATATCAATAGCCGCAATACGTACCACCAAGGCTGTGCGCATAGACTTCCTCAAACACGTCATTCGCCAAAATATCGCCTACTTCGATTCAGATGAGGCCGCCTCGGTCACAACGCAGGCCACCAGCAATGGAAACAATGTTAACAACGGTATTTCTGAGAAACTTTCGCTCACAATCCAGGGTGTATCGACCTTCGTAACAGCTTTCATCGTCGCCTTCATCGTACAATGGAAGCTCACTTTGATCACAATCAGTATCGTTCCAACTATTATAGTCGTTATTAGTGTTTGCGTGGGTCTCGACACCAAGAATGAGAACCAGTTGTTATCTATCCAATCAAAAGCTGGGCAGTTGGCAGAAGAAGTCTTCTCAACGATACGCACTGTTCATGCTTTTTGGCTCCAGCCTTTGTTGTCGCGCAAATACGACAGTATTCTCGGCGATGCAGAGAATGTAGGGATGAAGAAATCTCCCAATTATGCGGTTATGTTTTCCACGGAGTTTTTCTGTATCTACTGCGGCTATGGATTGGCCTTCTGGCAGGGCATCCGAATGTTTGCTCGAGGAGAGATCAAAGAAAGCGGTAAGTTGGTTTCTAAAATTTGCTTTCTTAGTAGATTCTTGTGGATTCTTGCGCCAAACAACAGCACTTGCTTACTTGTACATAGGCGATGTGTTTACCGTCATCCTAGCCGTAATAGTTGCAGCGACTGCAATGACGACAATTGCTCCTCAAATTATGGCTTTGGCAAAGGCATCGTCTTCCGCAGATGAGCTGTTCAAGACAATTGACCGAAAGTCCCCGATAGATCCTCTGAGTGAAGAGGGTAAAATACCTGATGTATGCAACGGCGTCATTGAGATCAAGGACGTCAGCTTTGCGTATCCAGCAAGACCCGATATCACGGTACTAAAGAACCTGACTGTGTCGGCACCTGCAGGTAAAACGACAGCACTGGTTGGAGCCTCAGGCAGCGGCAAATCCACCATTGTCGGCTTGATTGAACGTTGGTACGACCAGGCTAGCGGTGTGATCTACCTCGATGGTACAGATATCAGAGAGTTGAATCTCACGTGGCTACGGACAAACATCCGTCTTGTTCAGCAAGAGCCGGTCCTGTTCTCTGGGACCATATTTGAGAACGTCGCATTCGGCCTTGTTGGTACTGAAAAGGCAAATCTATCTCAGGATGAGCAACAGAAGCTGGTAGAAAAGGCCTGCAAGGATGCTTATGCCGAGGAATTTATCAAGAGACTGCCAAAGGTAGGTTCCCCGTATTTGCGTACCATTCATGGGCTAGCAGTGCTGACAACATATAGGGCTACGATACGCAGCTTGGCGAGCGTGCTGCAAATCTCTCGGGCGGTCAAAAGCAACGCATAGCGATTGCACGCAGCATCGTTTCAGGGCCAACCGTCCTCCTCTTAGATGAGGCAACTAGCGCCTTAGATCCAAAAGCCGAAAAGATTGTGCAGCAAGCCCTAGAGCGTGTCTCTCAAGGCCGCACCACCATCGTCATAGCGCATAAGCTTTCTACAATCCGCAATGCAGACAACATTATCGTCATGTCTAGCGGCGCTGTCGTGGAGCAAGGCTCACATGAGGAGCTCCTTGCGCAAGATGGAGCATATGCACGTCTTGTCCGCGCCCAGGATCTTGGCCAGACCGACAGCGAAGAACACGTGGATCAAGACTTTGCTACAGAGAAGGTTGATCTTGAACGGACTCAGACCCAGATCTTCGCCATAAACAATGATGACGTTGAGCAACCGAGCAAAGATGGTATCAACTACAATCTGGTCACATGTATATGGCTGGTTCTCAAGGAAGTAGGCGATGTCTGGAAATGCTTCGTCTTATTGACGATAGCCGGTATATGTGGAGGAGCAACGTTCCCTGCTCAAGCCATACTATTCTCACGCGTCGTCGGAGCGTTTCAGTTGTCACCCGAAAGAGCTGTAGACGAGGGCGACTTCTATGCTCTCATGTTTTTCGTCGTTGCCCTTGGTAATCTAGCCGTATATTCCGTTGTCGGATGGACGAGCAACATTGTAGCTCAAGTGGTAGAAAGGAAGTTCCGAAGCGAGATATTTGATCTAGTCCTCAAGCAAGATATGGCCTTCTTTGACGACCCAAACAACGCTAGCGGTGCGCTCGTTTCAAAGCTCTCAGGATATCCCGACCACTTGCGCGACCTCATGGGATTTAACCTGATGCTGATATGTATCAATATCGTTAATGTTGTTTCCAGCTCCATTCTTGCAATTTCCGTTGGGTGGAAGCTGGGCCTCGTCGTGGTCTTTGGAGGTGAGTACCTTGAACCCAATCAACAAACTGTACTGACTTTGGATGCACTCAGCTCTACCGCCAATCGTGTTTTCTGGTTACTTGAGGATTCGTCTTGAGTTTAAATTAGAGGAGCTTACTGGAAAGCGTTTTGCTGGCAGCGCTGCGCTCGCTGCTGAAGCCGTCTCCGCTATTCGCACAGTATCCAGTCTTGCACTTGAGCGACATATTCTCGCGCGATACGAAGACTGTTTGCGTCATGTTGAAAAGCATAGCATCAAAGCTCTAGTATGGACCATGTTCTGGTATGCTCTCTCGCAATCCATCTCTTTCCTTGCAATGGCTTTGGTATGTACTTCGTCCGTTACTTTCAAAAACAGAAAATTGACATCTATAGGGTTTTTGGTACGGCGGTCGCCTAATCAGTACTGGCGAGTACACAACAACTCAATTCTTCACAGTCTTTATTGGTGTTATCTTTTCCGGAGAGGCAGCGGCAGGGTTCTTTTCCTACACAACAAGTCTGACCAAGGCGGCGACCGCGACGAACTACGTATTTTGGCTACGAAGACTAACCCCGGCCGTAGAAGAAGACCCGTCCAAGCCTCCCTTTGATAACGAAAAGGACAAGGGTCCGGCCTATATCGAAGTGGATGATATTGCGTTCGCATACGTGTCTCGACCACACACTAAAGTTCTCGAAGGCATCGATGTTGACGTACAGCCCGGCCAGTTCATCGCGTTCGTGGGCGCATCCGGTTGTGGCAAGTCGACCATGATATCCCTTCTTGAAAGGTTCTATGACCCTACTGCCGGGCGGATAACTTGCGACAATCAAGCCTTGACAGAACTCTGTCCCCGCAAATACCGCCGTGACGTTTCGCTGGTTCAACAAGAGCCCGTATTATACCAAGGCTCGATCCGCGACAACATTGCCATGGGCATCGAAACTGATGTTACGGATGCGCAAATTGAGAAAACAGCCAAACAATCCAACATTTATGATTTCGTCGCATCCCTGCCGGACGGCTTCGCAACCATGTGTGGCAATAGGGGCACACAGTTGTCTGGAGGACAACGTCAACGGATTGCAATAGCCCGGGCCTTGATACGCGAGCCGCGCCTTCTTCTGCTTGATGAAGCCACATCCGCACTCGACACCGAGTCTGAGCGGGTGGTTCAGTCGGCCCTAGAGGAGGCACAGAGCGGACGTACAACCATTGCAGTGGCGCACCGCCTCAGTACAATCAAGGATGCAGATACAATCTTTGTTTTCGCCAAGGGAAAAGTTGTGGAGAGTGGGACGCACCAAGAGTTGCTTGCGAAGAGAGAAGTGTATTATGAAATGTGCTTGGGTCAGAGTATGGATCGAGCCATACCGGCCTAGAACTGGTTTCCGATATTTCACATGGGACTCAGTCCTGCGATCTGGTACAGGTTTAATTAAAAGTTCAAGCAGAATGTAATGGATGATAGGTATACCTTGGGTTCGCCTGCCCTATAGCGGGATTTGGTCGAGTGTTGGTGATGGCACTTGTGCGGTAAGTTAGAGTCCGTCCTAGTTGCTGTCTCGTCTGTAAGTGCTGTCACACTGTCACAAGGTCATAACGAACGGGTTCATGCGGTCAACAGTAAGTGTAGTATTAGAGATGTTGGCTTGGATGGTGGAGCGTTGTTGATGCGGCAACTCGATGGCCCGCAGCATAATCACGCTAGGCCCCACAATTTTCCGGGGTCTCCGCGCCACATCTGTCCCGTTCGCGATGGTGGCTCCTTTTCTCCACCCTCGTCCCAGCTTGACAGCCTTCACAAACGGTCTAGATGACAGCCGCATCCTGATGCTTCCACATGCAGCGCCCGGGCAGTGTCGACAAATGTTCAGCACCACTGCGAAATCCGGATCAGCTGCGTAAACACATGGGACCAAGTGTGGCTTTGGCATAGGTGTGGCTTTAGCGTTGGTGCTACAGTTCTCCCACTAGCCTGAACCATGAGGCGTTGCTCTGGTTATGCACGCTGCGAACGAGACTGCCACCAGCTTTGTTCGTCATTTCCTCTGCACCGTGGACCGTGGCAGCCACATTGCTCTGACAACCCATGTTATGGCGCCGCGCGGTATGAGGGTGCTGAAGCACAAGGCGCTACATCTTTGCACTGTCAAACCGCCAAGCCGTCTCATGTATTCCCCGTGCCCAACCACGGAACTCCATTAAGCCTCATGCCCCAGTCGGTGCATTTCTTAGCATGGCTCAGCTAGACAATTTCTCGCATTTTGCTGCTGATCGCTGTTGCCGCGACTGGACGCGATTGAGCCTTAGTTTCGAGGACACCTCAGGTAGCCCAATAAGAGACGTGCCGTTTCTATGCTATTTCCCAGCGAAGCGTTGGGGATGAAGACAGTGCCGAGCAGATCCACTCTGGAGACGTTTTGCGACTGAGACTAGTGACCCTGACATGCAGCCCCCAAGCCGTCATGCTGCATTCAAAGCATTGGCGTCTCCATGTTCCGTCGCTTTACTCTCTCTCTCCTCACCTTGATTGATGTGGATTGACGTTGTCACTGAGGAAATCAGGCGTTCTTTTCGATCTCTCCGTTGAACGGATACACTCTTTTCGGTTCATAGTCCTGGAGACACTCCTTCTCTTTACTTTATTTTCTTGATATATCTGCACTATTGGCCCCTTGGCGTGTGTCTAACATTATCTAATACTTGTTTATTACTTTTATCATGGCTCGCTACCAGCTGAGGCGGCCGTCGCCAGTCTCCATCTTCCCCAGGCACTCGAGACGTCAAAATGGTGCTGTGACTACTATGCCCCTTCCGACGGGGCAGGAAGAGGAGGATGAAGGACCAGAGAGCCCAGACTCGCCATTCAGCAGCCCTTCAACAGTTGGCGGCGGGTCATCCTCAAGTGAAGATTCAGAATCCGACGATGATGAAGAGCCACCCTCGCCGATGCAATCCGGTGCACCATCCCGACCTGTCCAAACTCTCGGTCCTGATCCGACCATGCCACCTGCCATACCACCCGCTATGCCACCCGCCATGCCACCCGCCATGCCACCCGCTATGCCACCCGCTATGCCAACCGCCATATCGAGTACCGCGACAGATGTGCCCGCTTTACAAGTCACCACAGAAGCAGCTCCATCATGGAGCACAACTCTATCATGGAGCACCGGCACCACACTAGAAACGATGGCTCTTCCTTCCACAACATCTGTCCCCGGAGACAGGATACAAACCGACAGACAAAAGCAAGCCTCACCGACAGTTTCCGTGTCTCTTCCTCCACCTCCGCCTCCGCCTCTATCAACTGCAGAAATGGATTTGGCTGGTGAAACTGGCGCTGCGGAAAGGCTGCCAGAAGAACAGACACCCATAATGACAAAGCAAGCCATGGTAGCAGCAATCGTCCTGGGTGTACTTGGTTAGTCACTATTATACTTTGAATTTCATGACTGATCATGTCTAACAATCAAACAGGTGCCCTGGCCCTTCTCGTTGCCGCCATCGTCTTCATCAAGCGCCGCAAAGACAAGCAATATACCCGCCATGTGTCCATGCAAGACGATTCTTTCAATTCATCCATGGCACAGGCTCTGCGAGCTCCGGAGAGCGCGCACACAGGCACTGCATCCTCAATCTTCGCGCGTCTACAAGGGGCCAGTAACGGCGGAGGAGAAGGCCATTTGACCCGCTCAACGGACCGCAGCAACACTCTGTTTGGCCCTGGTGAATATTCGCGTCCAGAAACAGTTTCCACAGACCGTAGCCGCTCGCGCATGGAGCCTCCGACGCCTAACCCTTTTGCCGATCCTCAGCGCAACAAGGCATATGACATGCTTCACAACAGGCCAAGGAGCACAACGCTTACGGATCGAGGCAGCTGGAGAGAGAACCCCTTCAAAAACCCAGAGAGTGATCGATTTGATCCATTTGGCGAGCTCAAGGAGAAGGCCCGTAGGGAAAGGCTGCGATATCTGGAAGAGGTTAAACGGGAGGCGGAGCTGCAAAGGCAATTGCAACAGAAAGAAGCCATGGGGCTGCGACCAGATGATATGCCATGGGGCCACGACAATGGATACAGATGAAAGCATGCACGCACGCATATGGGAGTCCAATGTATTTATATATCTTCAATTGCTAATGGGACTGCCATGTGGTCAGAATTACGTTCTTGGTGATGTGCCATCACGTGAAAACCGTCTCGCCTTGCAATGGCGCGTGCAACGAGACGGGTGCCTGGAGCACACCAGCCAATGACGAGCACGACACCCGCTTTAACACCACACGTAGTAGCAGCCATGTCACAGCTACGAAGTAGGGCTTATTTAAAAGGCATTGACTTTTAGTTTATGCATCAGTATACTCTTCTTCTGTTTCCCTCTCTCTCTCGCGGCCATGGCCCAGACAATGCCCGCAGCCCCACCAGAAGATGTCGCGCACGACCATCTCTGTCCCGTGAGCCACACACGCAGCAGAAAAAATTCGGCCCACGATCTGCTCACACCTTCCAGATCTGCCAACTTCTCCTCTACACTCCCGTGAAGACCCAATGCAACCATCTGCTATGCGCTTCGTGTATGGCACAATGGGCGGATGCATCCTCTACCAACCAGATCGAGCATTCGAGCTTGGACGTGCACCTCGCAGACTTTGATCCCAACTATGATCCCAGTTACGACCTCGAAGCCAACTGTCCCATGTGCAGGACACATACAACAGCATCTCCGGACAAGCCTCTGGCAAGACAATTAGAGGCCATGTACCCCGTGACTTATGCGGAAAGACGTGTGGAAGAGGAGGTTGATAGGGGGTCTCGTATTGGACAAGATGGTGTCGAAGGCGTCATGATTCTAATAGGTAACAAGCATCGGTTGATTAGGAACCCTGTTAGTGCAAATGAACATCTTTGGACATTTTTTGTGCGCACATCAAGGCCGGAACTTATTAAGGAAGTGCATATTTATCTGGTCAGTTTTGTATTTTCAAGTTCTTTCTTGGTTAAGAAGCGGGATGCGAAAGCTGTTCGATACAAAGTTCAAGATGCATAGAGTTCGGATTTGCATATGGCTCATTTACATATGAACACGGACTATGGCTACTGGCCGATGTACTGCTTTCCACGAGAAAGCTAACATATCACAGCATCCCACATTCCGACCCAGCCACCATGTCCTCCGAACTGCACCATACGAGTTCGAAGCACAAGGCTGGGGCTTCTTCACCATCGAATCCAAAATCGTGCTAAAGGCGCCATACAACTGGATCATTGACAATGCCGGCACCAAAAAGCAGGGACTCGAACTCTCCTGGACTCTCGACTTTGAAGGCAGAGGTAGGCAGGGCCGAGTAAGGGCCAAAGTTAAGAAATTCGAGGCCGAAACTGCCCCAGCTGGACGCACATTAAGGTCAAGACACATACCTCCTACGACTGAACCAGAGGTGGACAATAGCAACGAGGATGGTGACGAAGACTCATCCGAAGACAACGTAGAAGATGAAGGAGATAGCGAGTTCATCGTCCCATCCCGAAGATCTCGAAGATAGCACTCCAGAATCAAACCCAATCCAACTACTCAATCCCCATGGAGACATTCTCTGCCTTCGGAATACCTCGATCCGGCACATTTGGTGGCTCACAACTAGCGTCTTGTTTCCCTGTTTCAGCAGTTGAAGAATCTACCGAGCATACCATTGTGGCACAAGATAGGTGTGCACGGGCTTGGCAGCCATCGGATCCATCGCAGCGCGTATCGTGTTCGATACGATGCGGTTTTTGTTCCGTGCGGCCACGTTTGCAGTATACAATGTTGTTTTGCGGGAATGACAGGCGCTAGTCACACAAACGCACTTCGAGAACAATGCTAATGCGTAGAAACTGTCGGGTGTGCACGGTACATCGTGAGACACGACCGGTAAAACATCTTGGTGTTTCTATCGGCATTGTTGGGTATTATGCCTTCTGTTGATCCTAGACATCGGTGAGTTTCGTTTGAACTTTGTAGGAAACGAGACGATACGTGCTCGTGGATTGTTGAGGCCTCACACTATCGTTAGTCAGGGCGGTGTTAGCCTTATACTGAAGGGAAAGCCTAAAGGGTTATACGTGTATAGGCCAAAGTCGATGGTTCGAACAAAGGACATTTCAGAGCACCATGGTAGGAGGGCATGATGTTTCGGGCGCTACTATCAATAGGACTTGGCAAGGCAATGATATTCTCCATAAATAGTTTCGAGTAGCTATACTGTAATGCTATATACAGCTTGAGTTCATATCTCTGCTACCAGAAGACACGCAAATGCACATCGGCCTATATTTGACGACTATGATAACACCGGAATCAGGATGTTGTCAAAAGACTGGTCAAGGAAGAAGCAAAGCGATGATAATGCATACATCTTACAATTTCTCCTATTCATAGCGCCAAGGCGAACAGAAATATCCATCTGAGAAATCACCCAGAGTAGCCCCTCCCGTGACATGCGCCACATGGGCACCATCAACTTTTTTCTTATGCGCCCACCTTCCTCTCCTATCGCTACTTCATCCTTCAATCCCCACAGTTAATCACCACCAACACACATGTCCTTCTAGACGCAATTGTGACCAATCAGGGCTGATGGTGGCGGCGCGGCACACAGTTAGCTCAGCATCGAGAATGCGGGGCACTGTCAGGCAACTACAAACTCCGGGGTGCGGCGGATCAGGGTGCAACCTTTGATGCCAAGTGAGATTTGATGCTCCTATTTTTTCTTTGCTCCTATTTACAACCCAACGTCTCTCATTCCATCATCTCATTGCTAGTGAATCGAATCAGTCTATTCCGGGGCTGAAACCAAATAACCTGGAGAGAGGATCGAAAGAGTTAGGCGGTGTGAGCATTACGGGAGGGGCTTGGCGCCACCTCGCGAGAATCACGGCAGTCAGCGCTGACGAGAGACGAAAAGGGATAACAATCTTCTTGTCGACGTGTTCAGAGAACGAAACAAGTGCGATAAAGTCAGGAGGAGGATTTCAAGAAAACGAGCAGAGTCGGCTTAGCAGTGCGCGCGATACGAGAACAACAACGACAACAGTCTCTTTGTGTTTCAAAAGGGGGTTTCACGTGCCCAAAGGGGTGAGGAACGGAAAGGAGTCAGCAGCAAACCCGTCGACTGAGAAAGTACCGTGGAATGGGCTGATTGAGGAGAGCTTGCTGTTGCATTGTTGCGGCCAAACACCAGCGGGCTACGTTAAGACGGTTGCGAAGAAAGGAAGGATTCAGGAAGGGGCGCCCTGACGAAAGACAATAACCGCAAAGGCAACCACCGCCACGACACTGGCCAACGCTGTTCATCTTTCTTGGATACTGCCCAACACTCCACAGCTCCACAATCAAGACACACAAAACGGCCATTCTTTTTGCGAGAAGCCTGGTACACCTGCAATACCATTACTACAGCCACTTTATTCCTATCCGAATCTCCTTGGTCCTACGCATCACACCGCCATGCTCCTTACAATGAAAACAACACACCCTCGGGCAAACGACCTGATTTCTCTGCTCTGGAATTGGCACCTCCATAAGCGAGAAACAACCCTCTTCCGCCGTCTCGGCATGCACAGCCTAGAAATCGTTGGGCTCTCAACAGCGATGCTCATCATCCCTCTTAGCATGCATCGGGCCGTCCAAGGCTTTGACGAGATGTATGACATTCTAGGGCGGCGAGCAAAATCACCGTATGCTCGGTTGTCTTGGGTGAATATCGCGCTTGCATTTGTGGTGCTTGTCGGATGGCATATGTGGTTAGGGAGGCTGACCTACTTGACGGTATTGGAGAGCAATATAGATGAAGAGAAGGACGAGGAAAGGAATGATGAAATTACAGCCTTGACAAGTTCGGCAGAGAAAAGCAACACCGGATCAGGAAAGGGGGAAATATCTTGGGGTCGCATACTAGGACGCATCCTGATACCTCTCCTACTTGTAACATTGGGACTGCATTTTGGGTACCAAGTCTGCCGGCAGTTGATAACAGACACAAGACCTCTCATCACACGAAACGATGTCGACATGCAAGAAGCAATGGGACAGCTATACGGGCTAGTGTAAAAAAAAAGAACAAAAAGCGTGGGTTTCTGGATTACATAGAGGAATAGAAAAAAAAGTGTCGCCCAAAGAAAACATGCCGTAAAAAGGGTGGAGTAACCAACTAGAATGCCAGCCATACATATTATACTAGTTCTACCAAACCACACCTCCCCATACCCTCACTTAACAAGACCTCTATACCAGGCAACCCTACAACGCTAACCACCCCCTTTCCCTCCCATCCTTCCATCCTTCCACCCACCCTTCCATGCATACTCCCCTCCTCCATCCCCGCAAAACCCACCAAAAAGCCTCAGAACCTCGGACCCCCCGCCCAAAAACAGCCATCACACCCCGTCTTTTCCCCGCAGAAACCCCAGATTCGCTCTTCCTCGGAGCACACTACATACTATGTACCTACCTCCACTACACTAACCCACACACACACACACACACACCAGCGCGTACATCCCCATCCCGCCCCTTCCTCCTCAGCCCTTTCCCCTATACGAAACCAATCCCCCTCCCCCGGTACCTGCGACCGAGGAAAAAACGTTAGCATTACAAAACGCATGTAGCGTATACACCCAGCCAGCCAGCCATCCCGTCCCACTCCAGCCCTTTTAACGCCCTTTTCAACCCACGCCCTCATCCCTCCCTCCCTCCCTCCATCCATCCATGTGTCAAGTACGTACCAGTTGCACACTACATCTCCATCTTGCCGTGAAATAGTCAAGCAGGACGCGCATTCTCCGGCACCCTTCCCGGTTTCAACATTCCTCCCATGTAAGTACATTGTACTGCGTAAGCCAAGGACATCTGAGGAAAGAAGGAGAGGGGGGAGGGGGTGGGTGGCGGAATCGGTCCGTTTGGGTGGAGGGACGCGAGGAGATGGCTTACGAGATGGAGTTGGGCGTGCACCCGTTTTTTTTGTACAGGTGTGGGTGGGCGGGGGATAAGGAGGTGGATTGGGGTGGGGGGTTTTTTTTTTGATCTGGTTTGGTAGGCTGGGAGAG